TAAGAGAAAGGAGTATAGTATTTAATCTATTGAATAGTTTAAAGATCAATTTTAGTAATAATTTGTAATATTGAAATAGAGGATAAGGGTAGACTAGAAAAGTGACTATGAGTTGAATTAGTAGGAAGTATAGTCTGGAACTGTGCAGAATGTAAAATACAGTATGAGATCCATATTTGTTTATATATTTGTTGGTTTAAGTGAAGAAGGAATTTGATAGAGAGAGTAGTAGCAATATGGTAAAAAATAGAAGCATTGTGGATAGTAGAAATAAGATCAATAGAAACTAAACCAGATAGAGTAAAATAAGAGAAGATATATGTGAAGAGTTGTGTAGTTTGAAACTGTTAAGTATAAGGATTTTAGTATGTAAATCAGAAACAAGATTGGCAGACATGTCAAAATTAGTTGTATTTAAAATGCTATTAAGTAAGTTAGAGATTAAATAGTAAATTGTTTGGATTGATAGGCAGTTAACCCAATAGAGTAAAGAGCTAGTCTGGTTGCATTAATGACAGAAGAAAAAGAATAAAAAATTATGTTTATGAAGAGTATGAGGAACAGGAAGTTCATCTGTAAGAATTTTAACTCGAAAGGTTTTCAGAGTAAATGAATAGAAGCTATAAGTAAAGTTAGAAATTTTTTAATTATTGTTAATGTAAACCCATATAGCTTTCTAGTAATGTTAGATACAATAGTAGACCATTGTTGAAAACAATATTGAGATGTCCAGAGTATTATAATGTAGGCTTGGCATATGGTTCGAATAGAGCATCAAATAGGAATTTTAATAGGAAATTTATCAATAAAAGGAGTATAATTAAGGTTATAAAGATTATTAGTTAAAAATGTTAGATAAGATAATATTTAATGATTGTGAACAAGTTGATTAGCAAGGTTCTTAAATAGATCATCTTGGTGTACAATAACTTTATAAAAAATAAGTTGAATTTTATAAGACTTAATAAAGTTAATAAGTGTTTGCCAAATAGAGAAATATGAAGTATGAGTATGAGAAAGAGTAGATACTGATTGGCAGATGTTGTGGTATTTAGAGATTACTGATTGTGAGTTAATAAATATGTGAACAGAGCAATGTCTAGGAGCAGTAATAATTGCTGAGAGAATAGCAAGAATTTTAGCTTTGAAGGAGCATGACTACAGTTTAACTTGTGCCTAAAATAAATTAATAGTTATAAAGTTATCAACTTAAATCCAACCTATACCTATAGAACATTATGAGATACCAAGATCAATAACAGAACCATCAGTGTAAAATGAAATAGATAATAGATTGTAATTTGAGTTAGTGATAGTCTGAAAATTGTTAACAAGTTGACATGTTTCAAAAATAGATAATAGTTGTTGTAGATTAATTGTAAGTAAAAGAGATGGTGGAATATGTAAAGGATATTGAAGAGCAACAAAATATGCAATATTAAGAAAGTTTGCATAAAGGTTAAGAGTTTTGTCAAGATTGATATGACAAAGCAGTTTAGTAATCAAGTTAGTAAGAATGAAAATAGTAAATTTGTTAGCAATTGTATTTGAATTAAAATGGCATCCAGTATATAATATGATAATAGAAGAAGGAGTAGAGTAGAGATTAGAGAACTGAGACTGAAATAAGCAGTGTCAGTGGTTGATAAGAGTAAGGCCAGTAGGTGTATTATGCCTTCTGGCCTTGTCAACAATAATTTGGTTATCAAGAATAGTAAGTAATCAAGGTTTAGTGTTGGAAGTAAAGTGGCAGATAGAGTAACAGAAGTAGTTTATAAAAAGTAAATTATAATGATTATATAGAGTCTGTTGGTAAGAATGACTTATAGTAATGTCCTCAAGGATAGTAAATTATTGTGGTATAACACCTTTTGGAATTTTGTTAAGTCTAGATGAAATGTGTTGCCAGTACAAAAAATATGAGTTGTCATAAGTAATAAGTTGGTCCAAAAAAAGAAGTTTATAATATCTAAGTTGTTTTTTGAAAATGGGGTATTTTGAATAAGAAGAAAGAAGAGATTCAAAAGATATAATTTCATTATTAAGAATGTAAAGGATGTTGTAGATTGGGCTAGTTGAAAAAGTTCAGCCTATATATTTGATAAGTTGTATTATTTTGAAGTTTGTGATTAATCGATTGGGTCTATCAATGGTTGGCTTAGGATGAAAAAAATGTTAGTAGAAGACCAAAGGTTGTTTTGGAATTGTTGAATATGTATATGGATAGATGTGCCTAGTAGGTTAGGATTATTAAGCCATTTGAGAAGATTGAAAATATAGTGTTGTAGTTGGATATCCCAGATATATTTAATGTTGTAAATGTGAGGATGTAATAGAGTACTAGATAGTATTGTATAGCAAAGTTTAGCTTTAAGCTTAACAAAACCAATGTGTTGAATAAAAATTTTGTTGCAAGTAGGTTGGTTAATAACAATATTATATAAGCAGTATTCAATAGTAGGAATAATAACTGTATTAATAATATAGCGGGCATGTGAATCAGTTATACATTTTGTTTTTATAATTTGGATAAGTTAGGAGGATTTAGAGATAATTAATTTTGTTTGTTTAGATTACCTATTATCTAAAGTAAACCAGCAACCTAAAAATTTGAAGGGTTGTTTAAAAAAATAAACTGGAAGTAGGTAATTATTATAAGAGATAGGAGTATAGTTGAATGGAGAGTTATTAGTAACCAAAATAGATTTTAAGGAATTAACTTGGATGTTTGCCACAGTATAAAATAATTTAGCTATAGATAGTATATAAGATAACTCAGTTTGTGAAAAAGCAACCCAAAGAATATCATCCATATATGCTAAAATAGAGTATTGTTTTTGTAATAAGATAGTTGTTTAAAGTTTTAGATTAGTGGTCCAAGTAGATTGTAAAGTATATCCAGGAACTTTTAAGTATATGTATAAAATAAGTGGATTGTGATAAATTTGCTATAATAAAGATGTAATTGTTTCACCTTGGTCAATATCATTGTGAACTAGATAAAAGGAAGTATGACAAAGATTGGTAATAACTTGTTTGTAATAATCAGTAAGGAGATCAATAAGAATGTTGATAATGAATGAAGAAAGTAAAAGATGTGAGAGTGAATGTTTGAAAAGAGCAAAGTTTACAGAATCATATGCTTTGCTCATATCTTGTGAGAGTAACCAAATATCTTTGTGATTACAGGTAGCAACTTCAATAAGATTATTGAAAATGTGAATAGAAATTGAAGTACTATTATTAGAGAGCACAACATAGTTAAAAGGTGAGAGAATAGGGTTTGAAGAAAATACAGAGCTAAGTCAGTTTATAAGAATTTTTGTGTTAAGTTTGTGAATATGTTCAATCAAACTGATAGGTCATATAAGGTTAAGGTTATCATCAAAAGTGCTGTGTTTAGGAATAGGATAAATTCTACTATGTTTTTATTGTTTAGAAATTCTGTTGTTAAGAAGACAATAATTAAAGAGAGCCGTAATAGCAAAAGTGCATTGGGAGCTAATGTGTTAAAGCATTTTATAATAATGTCTGTAGGACTACAGGCTTTGTTATTAGGTAGTTGTAAAAGGGTTTGAAGAACTTTTTCATTAGTAATAAGAGTGTTAAGTGAATGATACCAATTTGGATTGATGTAAGAAAGTGGAAGGTATTGTTGTTGCCAAAAATTATTATAAAGGCTTTCATTGATAGGTCTGAGTGCAGTCCAATCATGAAAATAGGATTGAACATGTTGTTTAATAAGTGATAGATTTGTAATAAGTTGGTTTGATAATTTTATATTTGAAAGATGAACAGATTGATAATAGTAATTGAGGATGCTATTAATAGCTAAATAGAATGTGTTGTAAGAGTAATATATTTTTTGTTAGTAGCTTTATTGATTTATTATCAAAGTAAAAGAAAGTTTTCAAGATGACAAGCATGATAAAGTTGTTTTCAAATAGAGTGGACATGTTAAAGCCATAGTTGAATACAGGAGGGATTGGTGAAAATGAATAGTTGAAGATCATATTATGACTGTTTATTAATTTGGGAGATGTTTTGGTTAATACTTAAAATATTAAAAAGTTGAGTAAGTTTTTTGACAAGTTTAATAATATGTACAAGTTTTTTAAAAGAGAGATGTAATAAAGTACTATAAGGTGAGTATTGGTGATTGTAATTTCATTTGCAAGAGATTTTGTTAAGGATTGTATGAGTGGCAGAATAGATTATAGAGCATTGAATTTTGTATCAAGTAGTCTTAATACTTTTATCAGTAGTACTATTGATAGGAGTTTTGTGTAGTGAAAGTTGTTGAGTTAAAATATCAGCAAAAGAGTTTCAGTCTTCTGTAGTTATTATTTTATAATTAAATATATGATGACTAATCAGCATGATAGAAATTTGTTTTAATTGGTTAAGTATTTGTGATCTACATATAGATGTTACATAAACATAAGATCCTTCACATCTAATAAAAATAACCAATTCATATCACGTGCATTATAAATTATATAAAAAGATAAATACAGTAAAACCTAGAGTTGTTAAAAAGCTTGCCAGACCTGGTCCTTGAGTTGACTTTACACAGACTTTTTAGGACTGACTCAAGCCTGTCCTAGACAAAGCTCCATATGCATGTCTTTGTTCTAGAAGGGCATGCATGTGATTGGTTAATTTGCATCGAGATCGATTTGACCAAAATACAATACTAATTATTATTATTATATGCACGGACTCGACTCAAGGACCGAGTCTTAATCGAAGTTCCTATTTACGAAGTCAGGACTGAAAGAATCGGACTTTTAACAACCCTAGTAAAACCTTTTAATAGTTTAAATGCATAATTTTGGGTAATTTTATTAACATGCCAGGTAACACAAAAATTACTTTGTAATATATTAAATTAGAATGACCAATATGTATAATAAGTTAATAAACTGTAATAAATTTAAATATTTTAAAAATTAAAGACATGTTTTTTAAATTGAAGATTAAATTTGAAATTACGCATAATGACTAAAAAGAATCTTGGCCCTTGTTCAGTTCGTGATTGTCAAATAAATCCAAAGCAATTTCGTGGAATCACTGATTATGCATTTAAAAAAGCAAAAGAAAAAGGCACATTTGGTCAATATAGTTACTTAGAAATCGGAAAGCAATTATGCTATTCTTATTATCTTGAGATAATTGAACTCGATCGCCATAATGTAAAGAAATTGCCAACTAATAATCTACAGGATAATGTTATTACAAAATCATTATTATTTGGTAATAAAATTGCTTTAATGACCAAAGTATTATATAATAAGCAAAGAAAAGAGAATCAAATGCTTGAATTGGACCTGGACCATTTTTAAACAATACTTGAGAATGCAGAGCCATTACTAAAAGAATTTTTTGATGAATTATATGATGCATTTATTCCAGAAAGACAGTCTGCATATAATAAAAAGAAGGTAAAAAAAAAAAGTTAATATATTCTATTCAATAGTGGCAATATGTAATAGGCTCATAAACAATTATCTTTTAGAGATCGGGTTATATCTTGCAGCATCCGGTACATCATGCAATGCTATTAATACAATGCATAAAGCTGATATGTTGGTTTGCTATAAAACTGTTGACAATTATAGAAAAAAGATAGTAAGTGAATATCCAAAAAATATTCAAAACTATTTTATTGAAAAAGTAAGTAAAAATTAATAGCAATGTCATAACTTGTCATAATTATAATGAGTTATGGCATTTTTGCCATAGCTCATTATAATTACGGCAAGTTACAGCAATTATTCATATCAATTTCCTAAATTTAAATAATAATAATTAATACTTTTCATTAGAATAATAGCTTTTTTGTCTACAATATTGATGATTACCATAACATACATAGTATAAGGCATCTTGATAATGTAGTTCTCTTGGCTCCAATTCATTTTGCTACATGTGTTAGCAAAGAAATTTCAAGCTGTGCACTGATACCAATAAGCTACAATGGTATCTCAATTTATAATCCTGTTAATATAGATGCATTCTTGGTTTGCCTTTATTTAATTACACAATATCGTAAAATTTTTGACCTTTCATATATACAAAGAAAGAGTCAGTGGTCTACCTTACAAAAAATAAACATCAATTTTGATCAAATTAAGCTCCTAACTATTCACTGTTATGATGATGTTATAAGTAAAAAAGAAAAAGAAAGAAATATGGAAGAAGTGAGGCTAGTCGGAATTAAAGAAAGTAATCTTCATTAACTCGAAGATTACTTAAATGTGTTAAAAAGAATTCTTCTAATAAATAAAGATATTAGATATAAAAATAATAATGTAATGCCAGTCATCGCTGACTGGCCTGGACAACTCTTCATACAAAAAGCAATAACTCACCTGTAACAAAATACAAATTCGTATATATTAGCAGCTGTTAATTCTTTTATACCCATATTAGGTCTGCTGCATGTTTCATTGAATAGTTGGGAGCAAGTTTTGATGATTTATTATTCTTTTTTTAAGAAGCTCTTTCATGCAGTTTTTGGCGAATGAAAGATTCTTGCAAAAAAGCCAAAACCGTGGAGAATAAACCTTCTTCTTGAACTTGCTTACCAAGGATGGCTAAAAATAAAAAAAAAAATACTTGAAAAATTCGGAACTATATGCAAGGACATAGAATACAGGATGTTAGTTGATCTTTTTGATAACATAGTTCCAGCAACCTTAGATGTGTATGCAATTCTTTTTCGTTCAGGCTTCTTTGATGAGTACGTCAAACTGTTTTTCATATATGGACCTTTGCATTATGCTGGAATCATAAAAACTATAATAAGGCCCCTCTTGTGTTCCTGTCAGATATTTTTTATTGGAAGGATAAAAATCATCCAATGTTTGAGGCAATTAAAATGTTTCTTGTAAATTTCAATAATTATTTCATTGAAAACTTTCACAGTCAAATATGGGCTAATACATTATCCAGTGACAGTATCGAAACTATTATCAAACAGGCTTGTATTTTAGATAAGCAATAAATAAAATTACTTTATTTAAAAAAAAAAAATAATACTAATCAAATAAAATAATAAAAATAAAAAATAAAAATAAAAAATAAATAAATAAATAAATAAAAATAGATGCGAACAAACAATTGCCGTTTAAAGAAGCATTTTATTTAAAAAAAAAGTATCCATATATGCCCCCTACTTTAAAATACTTGACAAACAGAACATCATTGTTCTTAATAGATTATTTTCATCAAGTATTCCAGCATCTCAATACGGTTCCTAGTACAACAAATAGGGAGCAAAAAAAAGGAAAAAAGAAAGTTATAATTAAAAAGCAAGAAAAAAAAAAAAAAGACATAAAACATAAGCTTAAAGCTTTAAATGAAGGGGTTGGTGTCACACACTTGCCAACAGGTTATAGCACAGGAGTTCCTCCCTTACCATTTCTTTATGACAATTGTTACAAAGCATTGAACGACAATAATGATGGCACCATATTAATCTGCAGTTATGGTTATCATTGGCACTGCTACAATCAAATAGAATATGGATGCCAACATTGTGAGCAGTATTACAAAAAGGGAATAAATAAAAATATTAAATCATTTTTGGAAAGACTTGAAAAGTGAGAAAATATGCTTACCAAAGAGGATGGAATTGAGGAATTAAAAGAAAATACAGAAGAAGGTATGAAAAACCTGAAAAAATTCAAGAAATAGAAGAAAGTGATACAGTTTTATTTCATTTACAAAATGCATTAGAAAATATAAATAAGTGGTAATAAATTTGTTTTAAAAAATTGCATTTTACTAACATTCGCCTGTTATTAGTCATAGAAGTTAAACCAACTAACACAGCTTTACATATTTTCGCTACACTTCGCATATAAGTTACCTACCTCTAAACACTTGATTCCACTTGATCTGAGAGTTTCAAAAGGATCGTTAGGTCCTAAAGAACGTGCTAATAAAAAAATTTTTTTTGTTACATAAACATATTAAAAGAGTTGTCATATTACTAAAGAATTTAATATAGATTTACGACATACTGACCAATCACATTCAATTTGATGATCAAATTCAACAGCCAATAAAAACAGATTTCTATCATGCTTGACTAATCCCAGTATGTTTTTATAGAGGTTTATTATAGGCATGTGGAAATGTCCAGGTAGAGGTAAGAATCAAGTGATCACTTGAAGTAGAGGTTTAACTGCTGTCAAGATTATAGAAAAGAAGGAATTGTATATTAAATTGGTCAGTCCAGATGTAGTCAATGCGACTACTGCTAGTATTGTTAGACTAAGTAAAATGTTTGTTACTAAAATGGACTCCAATATTATACATATTAGAGTGATTAAAAAAGTTGATGAGTTTATATTTGAAAGAAGAACTGTAGGTATGATCTTGTGTATTAAAATTACCAAGAATAATAGGATAAAGGTTGAGTTGAGAAGCTTATTGAATCCAGTTGATTACTGTGTTTTGAGTTTGGTTGCGAATAGTTATATCAGTAGATAAGAGGTATACTAAGATAATATGAAGTTTGACATTGCTTCAAAAGAAAATATCAAGTGCAATGGCTTCTTCTGAGTAAGTATGAATACCATGAATGTGAAATTTAAAATAATTATGAATCATAATGGCTGTTTCTTCTATAGAAGTAGAAGAGTTAGACCAGTAGTAGGTAAAAAAGTTGTTGTTGCAGAAAAAAAAGTTAGTTTTGTCAGAAATTTTTGTTTCAGTAATGCTAACAATAGATATGTTATTATTAAGACAGTAATCTTGTCAGGCTTCTTTTTTTGTTGGATCATTAAAGCTTCTGATATTGTGTATAGTGATAGTTAGGTTAAGGTGTTGAGAACTTGAGTCAGAAGAATGTAAAGCAGGGTTATAGTCAATAGGAATTGAGTGATGGTTATTAAAGAAGAAGTCAGATAAAATAGAAGTAGAGCTAAAGGAGTTGGATTTGAGAGGGAGGTTATAGAATAGAGGAAGAAGATGTGAAGCAATAATTATATGATCTGACAAGAGAGTATCATTAGGAAGATATATGTGGGTTTTATTATAAAATGAGTTAACAGAAAATGTAATACTAGATACAGTTTTGTTGTTATTATGTTTATTAATATATTAAATTAAGGTTTGAATAGTTTGACTATAAGAAAGAAGTAGTAGATTGTA